TTATATATATACTTATATATATTTCTCTGTGGCATACAAACAAGAGTAGAAAGTTTGATATTAACTTCATTTAATATTAGTAAGTTACTTAAAGGTTTTGGAAATTATTTTAAGCTTGTATATCACAAAATGTAATTACTGTTGAAATAAAACTGTTTAAATAGTCTATATTTTTATTTAAACCTTTACCATTTTATTTTAGGTATGTCTCCTTGTAATTTTTATTTTTTGGCTCATGGTTAAAGACAACAATTGGTTATCTAATTTATTTTCAGTTGTTTAAGCTGGTTTAGGTATTTTGAAAGACAAAAGATAACTATTTTTTTCTTTTATTATTCTGTTGGTAAGCAGTTTTTGTTTTTTCTTTATTATAACTTTTTATTTACCCAGTAAATACCAACACTCTTCAGTAAAAATAAACTCATTGATTCTTGGAAATTACCCTTTTCTTTAAATAAACATATTTCATATAATATCTAGTTTAAGTTAGAAAGGTTCTGTTTTAAAGACTGACATATTACAAAACATAAAGATCTTTGTTAGAATAAATATACCTTTTATTAATTTTTGGAAATATTGGACTTTTGAGTGCTTATTTATTAAAATAATCAGAGTAAGTTCTTTGAAAAAAAGTTACAATTTAATAATACCATCCAGAGTAAGAAGTTATTATATTTTCATAACCCTGCCTTCTGCACACTTTAAAGAGTAATTTGGAATAATTTGTCCATTTTAAAGCCGTGTTATACTAATTAAAATAAATAATCTATACTCTATCAGTGCATTTTTAAAAAATAGGCTATTTCATATTAAAGTTTTTTAGAGTAGCTACTAAGGGCCCAGATAGACAAGATAAAAACTCAGCCTCATGAAAAATGGTAACTGAGGCAAGCTCTCAGGACAAAACAAGACAGATGGTGCCCTGGTAGGACCTTAGCATTGCCCCCTTTTTTTTTTTTTTTTTGGCAAACATTCGGCAAATGTGTACTCAGTGAGTTAAGAAAAGGAAAAACAGCTGTAAGGAGCATTACTTTCAGTTTGACACCTTTTACAGTAACCTCCACAATGCCTAATTGTGCACCCCATCTGAGAGGACTGTTACCTTACCTCTCTCACCCGTTAAAGTAACCACTACAATGCCAAATTGTGAGGAATGACCTCACATGTGCACCAAACCTAGGTCAAACAAACTTTAATCTAAACTTGCAAGTGGAAAAACTTAGTAAGTGCATGCCAGAAATGGCATCCCCCATCTTACTAAGAATAGCATGTGCCAACAAAAGAAAGGTGTGCTATTAAGTTAAAATGGACCCTTAAAGAAACAAAATAAAAGATTTGCATGGGGAGTCATACATTTGTCCACTAGATGGTGGACTTGTCATGCTCAAAGTTTCGAAGCACACACAGAAACATAAAACCAAAAACTTGGCAGTCATTGAAACCAAGAGCAACCTGAAAGTCATAGAACACAAACCTTCAGCGAGCTTGTTCAGCTGCAAACAGAAAAGTGAAAGGACCTTTACTAGGTAGGCACCTAAAACTGCAGCTTTTCATTTCTTCCTGTTGAATTATTTTTTAGAACCGTTTTTTTCTCATCCACTGAGCAGGAAGTTTAATGTTACTGAGCTCAAAATTTTCCCAGACTGGCCATTTGGTTTGGTTCCTAATCTCTGGCAAGCGCGTGTCACTTCTCAAGTTAAATGTCATTCCCCATCTGCCCAGCGTTCAGCATGTGCGACCTTAAATTTCAGAAACCTGCAGATAACCACGCGTCACGAGATAATGCACAAATTTCACCTTTGAGTAATCTCGGAGACAAACCACCTGCACCAAAAAAAAAAAAAATTTACCCTCAGTTTCTCCCAAACCAGAAAGAAACATTCTTTGAAAGTAGATTTACCTCTGTACCAACTGATATGCTCAGATTTAGACAACACAAACAAGTGAAAGCTTACCAAGACATCCTAGAGAATCTGAACAGAAAAACACAACAAAAGGCTTAATAGAAAATCTCAGAGAACACTGCCGTAAATTATGGGGTTCAAATCCAAGAGCACTTACCTTTGCAGAGCCCCCAGCGTTCACAGAAACCAGAGGGCACAAAGGGCCCTGTTGCTGGAGTCTTCTCTGTTCCTCCGCCCCTTGGGGTTCCCGCTGAAGGAAGATGGCTGTGGAATCTCAGCCTTGTCGCCAAAATGTCATAGGGGAGAAAGATCCCAGAAACAAGTTTAATCAAAAGAGACTTTTATTAAGCCAAGACAAAGACAAAGACGATCATTCAAATGAGGGAGACCGTCAGCATGTACCCAGTACAGAGGCCAAAGGAATTCACTGAATCACAGTCATGGTGTCTATTACATATTACAGAGGACAAAGAAAATCATCACAAAGTCATGATCGGTAGCAGTCAATTCATCACTGTTGTAGATGGGACTACAGAAGTGAGAAAGGGACCATAGCTAGGATACGTACATAATTACAGGTTAAAAAGGTTATAGCCTTGGTTCTGGGGTTTTAATTATCCGGCTACCTGGTGGCTGGGGTCGACTCATGATCATGTGATCCTGAGTCATAGTCACAGGGTGGTTATCACACAATACTAGGATCCCAACCTTTAACTTAAATCAGATAACATACATCATGAAGCATTTCCTTCTTCGTTTTACTTAGGTACACTTATTTATTCACCGGCAAACTGTTGTGCCAGTTTTTCTGTTACATAACTAGGGGAAAGGGAAAATCGTACCTTAGCTTTCCTTACTATGGCCAAGCTCCGTAAGATTTAGGGGTTGTCTACTCTCCAGATCAGAAATCAAATGACCTCTAGTCTCTACCAGGTACAGTCTGAAGAAGAAAAGCAGGAAGAGTGATGAAAAAAAGGAAGGCAGAGTCATGATGTCTTTCAGGTGAGGTAACTGTGGTTCTTTTCATCTTCCTGACTAGCCACATAGCATGGGGAATGCTCACTACTTTTTAAGTTGGCCCCCTATTCAGTCATAGGAAGATCACACTTTGCAAAGTATTTTGGTCATTTGGGTCTCTGAGTCCTACAGACTAGGATTTAGGACCTTTCCTTCAGCCAGGCCTGGGAATGATACCCACTTGCTATTGCCACAAACCCAAGGCTCAGGAGATGGGAAGAGCCTCTTTTCATATTTCTCCATATTCCATTTTCTCCTTAATAAAACACCCCCCTACATCTTCTTAAGAAGATTTATTTCTTTACAAATAAATACCACTCTGAAAAGGCTTATGCATGTGTATGTGTGTGCACACGCACCCTCACACAAGCATTTTTAAGCAGTGAAAGGTATATGCAGCCAATGTTGTAAGTATATCAGTAGTTTCAAAAGGACAGATTGGACTGTTGTGATCCACAGGGTCTTCATTGTCTGATTTTAGGAAGTAGATTGCCAGGCCTTTCTTTGTAGTCTGTCTTAGTCTGGAAACTCTGTGAAACTTGTTCAGCATCAAAGCAACATGCATGCCTCCACTGACAGATGGGTGGTGGCTGCACATGAAATGTATTGGCCAAGAATTAAACCTGGGTGTCCCACGTGGAAGATGAGAATTCTTCCACTGAACCACCACTGCCCTGGCATAGATGACATCAGTTCATACTTTGGTTCTTTCAGTGTGAGCAGATTGTTCATATTCTATTGATGTTGATCCAATAACTGAAAATATTTTTAAGAGAAGAAAATGATTATTATGATTCTGCCTTAAATTCCTTATTGCATCTAATCTTATTCCTTGGTCCAGGCACTACCTCACTGTCTGCTTTGGTGGAATACTATGTGTTCCCATTTGCAGCAGGGAAAAATAAATTATAAAGAAATTGGTTTGTTATAAGCTTATTTAGGACTCTTTTGATTTCCTATATGTTTTCTCTTTTTTTGAAGCAAAAGCTAATCTTAATTCAACTTCCTTCAACACTTGACTTTATACCTTCATACTCTCTTTAGATAATCTGACTGACGTATGATTTGCTCAATTAACAGAGCTAGAAGTTTGGAATAATTTTTGTTCCCTTTCCATAACTTTAAAAACCAAACTGTTGCCATTGAGTCGATTCTGACTCAGAGTAACTCTGTAGGACGTAATAGAACCGCCCCATAGCGTTTCCAAGGCTGTAATCTTTACAGAAGCAGACTGCAACATCTTTTTCTTGCAGAGTGGCCGGTGGGTTTGAACCACCAAAGTTTTCGTCAGCAGCCAAGCGCTTAACCACTGAACCACGAAGGTGCACCAGTAGGAGAGGGACCTGAATATTATGAGATATCACTCCCATGATTAGTTTATGTTATATGCCACTATTGACTTTAAGAAAGGGAGGTTATCCTTGTGGGGCCTGATAACGAATAGGGCTCTTCTGGAGGGAGAAACTCTAAGCATGAGGGGGATTTGACATGAGGGAGATACTGCAGCTGACCTTAAAGGATTCTGTTGCCACCATGTAGTGTGGGCTTTGGAGGAGTGAGAAGGCCCGTGAGCATCCTCTTGGTGCTGAGAGAGGCCTTCATCTGACAGCAAACATGAAACAGGGGTGTCACGCTTACAGTTGCAAGGGATTGAATTCTGCCAATAATCTGAATGACTTTGGAAGTAGATTCTTTTTCAGAGCATCATATGAGAACGTAGCCAGTGGCCACCTTGAGTGAGAAGCCCTGAGTAAAGAACCCGGCTGCACTATGCCAGACTCTCGATCTGTGCAAACTGTGAGATAATAAATTTGAGTTGTTTTAAGCTTCTAAGTTAGTGATAATTTTTTATGAAGAAAGAGAAAACGAATACATCCTTCTTTTCTAAGACACTCAATTTTGATCATGCCATTCCCCTGTCTTTAGAGTCTCAATAACCAATTATTTTGGCAAATTCATTTAACTTCCTTAAGGTTCATTTTCTTTGAGAAATAGGGGTACTAATGGCATTTAACTTAAAAGGTTGTTTTGAAAAGAAATTTGGAAAATGCGTGTAGTTGTGCAGTGCCAGGTACATAGATAAATGCACAACAACTGTTGGCTATTTGTTTTACCATAATTTTCAAATTAATAATTGTCATTTCATAAATACCTATTTGTGAGCTACTCAGGGGACCAACGATCTTTTTCATGTGTTCAGCAGGATTTGTTTTTTCTTTCTTTCTCTCTATTTAGTGAGGAAAAGGAAACTTAAAGGCAGTTGTCTGAATAGTTCCTACTTTAAGTTTCAGTTTCCTTTCTTTCTCAGAGTCCAGGAAGCCTCAGATCTCAGCAGAACCTTCTGTCTCCAAACTGTGGCTGCTGGATAAATCAGAAAGAGAAACGAATTCTCCCTTTAAGCCTTATCCAACTCTTACAGACAAGTAAGTGCCATCTGTACTGCTGTTCTTTTCTGTGTTCCTAATTCTGGTACTTTTTTTTGTTTTTCCTCTCTTTTTTCCTTTTATCAGTATCAGCAGTGCCTTTGTCAATTTTATCAGTCTTTTTAAAAACTAACTTTCGGTTTTGTTGATCCTCTCTATTGTATGCTTATTTTTGCTCCACTTAGACTTTTTGACATGTAAGTGTATTCATTTCTTCTTTTCTTTCTTCCTTTTTTTTTGGAAATAAAGTTTTTCTTCTTCTTTTCTAATATTTGTGTTTAAGGTTATCCAATTTTTATATAGCATATGCCAAGTTTTGACATGAGTATTTTATTATCATTTAATTGAATTTCCCAATTTTCATTAAGATTTCTTGTTTGACCAATTACTGAAAAGTGTATTTCTTTATTTTCTAATATGCGAGGATCTACTAGTTATTTTATTTTTATGCTTTCTGGCTTATTTATATTATCATCAGAAAACATACTCTTTTTCAAAATTACAGTGTTCTGATGTTTTGGGAGCCCTGGTGGCATAGAGGTTAAGCGTTAGGTGGCTAACCGAAAGGTCAGGTGTTCAAACCCACCAGCCGCTCTGGGGAGACAAAGATGTAGCAGTCTGCTGCCATAAAGACTGAAAAAAGAAAACCCTGTTACCATTGAGTCAGTTGCTACTCATAGTGACCCTATAGGACAGAGTAGAACTGCCCCATAGGGTTTCCAAGGCTGTAATCTTTATAGAAACAGACTGCCACGTCTGTCTTCAGAGAAGCAGCTGGGAGGTTCCAACTCACCCCAGCACTTAACCACTGCGCCACCAGGGCTCCTTTTCTATAAAGATTACAGCCTTAGAAACGCTATAGGCAGCTACACTCTGTCCTATAGGGTTGCTATGTGTTGGAATCAACTCGACAGCACTGGGAATGGGATATGTTTTGAGACCTGCTTGCTTTTGGGGATTTATAGGACCACTTTACTATTGACCCTACTCTCTTTCTCTCCTTCTTGGATTCCAGTTTCACATATGTTAGCCGGTTTTACCGTATTCTCTAGTCTCTTTTGCCCTTTCCTATTTTTCATCCTCTTATGCATCTCAGGGACCCCGGTGGAACAGTGGTTGAGAGCTCGGTTGCTAACCAAAAGGTGGGCAGTTTGAATCCACCACCTGCTCCTTGGAAACCCTATGGGGCAGTTCTACTCTTTCTTATAGGGTCACTATGAGTCAGAATCAACTCCAGGGCAATGAGTTTTGTTTATGGGTTTTTTTTTTGTTTTTTTTTTTTGGTGTGTTTCAGTGCTTCCATTGATATATTTTCTCCTGAATAATTGTTTTAGTGTGTCTAACCTGCTTTTAAATATATTCTTTAAATTATTAATTTCAGATATACATTTTTTAACATCCAGAGTTTCTTTTTTTATTGTGCTTTAAGTGAGAGTTTACAATTCAAGTTAGTTTCTCATACAAAAATTTATACCCGCATTGTTATGTGACTCTAGTTGCCCTCCCTATACTGTGACAGCACAAGCCTCCTTTCCACCCTGCATTTCCTGTGTCCATTCAACCAGCTCCTGACCCTCTCTGCCTTCTCATCTCGCCTCCGGACAGGACCTGCCCATTTAGTCTCGTGTACCTACTTGAGCTAAGAAGCACTCTCTTCACAAGTATCAATTTATGTTCCGTAGTCCAGTTTAATCTTTGTGTGAAGAGTTGGCCTCGGGAATGGTTTTAGTTCTGGGTTAACAGAGAGTCCGGGGGCCGTGTTTTCCAGGTCCCTCCAGTCTCAGTCAAACCATTAAGTCTGGTCTTTTTACTAGAATGAGTTCTGCACCTTACTTTTCTCCTGCTCCGTCAGGGACTCTGTTGTGTTCCCTGTCAGGGAAGACATTGGTGGTAGCCCAGCACCATCTAGTTCTCCTGGTCTCAGGCTGATGACGTCTCTGTTTTATGTGGCCCTTTCTGTCTCTTAGGCTAATATTTTCCTTGTGTCTTTGGTGTTTCTTCACTCTCCTTTGCTCCAGGTGGGTTGGGATCAATTGATGCATCTTAGATGGCCGTCGCTAGCTTTGAAGACCCCAGATGCCACTCACCAAAGTGGCAGAACATTTTCTTAATTAAATTTGTTATGCCAGTTGAACTAGACGTTCCCTGAAACCATGATCCCCAGACCCCTGCCCCTGCTACTCTATCCCTCAAAGTGTTTGGTTATATTCAGGAAACTTCTTAGCTGTGGTTTAGTCCAGTTGTGCTAACTTCCCCTGTAGTGTGTGTTGTCCTTCCCTTCACATAATTCTTGTCTGATATCTAGTTAGTGAATACTCCTCTCCCCCCGCCCCATCCTTGTAACCATCAAAGAATGTTTTCTTCTGTGTTTAAACCTTTTCTTGAATTCTTATAATAATGGTCTTATACAATGTTTGTCCTTATGTGAATGACTAAATTCACTCAGCATAATGCCTTCCAGATTCCTCCATGTTATAAGATGTTTCACAGACTCATCATTGTTCTTTATTGTTGCATAGTATTCCATTGTGTGAATATACCATAATTTATCCATTCGTCCTTTGATGGGCACCTAGGTTGTTTCCATCTTTTTGCTATCATGAACAGTGTGCTACAATGAACATGGGTGTGCATATATCTATTCATGTGATGGCTCTTATTTCTCTAGGATATATTCCAAGGAGTGGGATTGCTGGATCATATGGTCCTATTTCTAGCTTTTCAAGGAAGTGCCAAATCGATTTCCAAAGTGGTGTACCATTTTACATTCCCACCAACAGTGTTTAAGTGTTCCAGTCTCTCCACAACCTCTCCAGCATTTATTATTTTGTTTTTTGGATTAATTCTAACCTTGTTAGGGTGAGATGATGTCTCATTGTAGTTGATCATGGACATTTCCTCATGCGTCTATTAGCCACCTGAATATGCCTGTTTATATACTTTGCTCATTTTTTAATTGGGTTATTTGTCTTTTTGTTGTTGAGGTTTTGTAGTATCTTGTAGATTTTAGAGATTAGATGCTGATTGGGTTTGTTGTAGCCAAAATTTTTTTCCCAGTCTGTAGGTTGTCTTTTGATTCATTTGGTGAAGTCTTTTGATGAGCATAAGCGTTTGTCTTTTAGGAGCCCCCAGTTATCTAATTTCTCTTCTGGTGTTTGTGCATTGTTAGTAAAATTTTATATTCTGTTTATGGCATGTATTAGGGCTCCTAGAATTGTTTCTCTTTTTTCCTCCATGATCTTTATCATTTTCAATTTTATATTTAAGTCTTTGATCCATTTTGAGTTAGTTTTTGTTCATGGTGTGAGGTATGGGTCCTGTTTCAATTTTTTGCAGATGGATATCCAGTTATGCCAGCACCATTTGTTAAAGAGACTGTCTTTTCCCCAATTAACAGACTTTGGGCCTTTGTCAAATATCAGCTGTTCATAGATGGATGAATTTACATCTGGATTCTCAATTCTGTTCTGTTGGTCTATGTATCTGTTGTTGTACCAGAACCAGGCTGTTTTGACTACTGTGGCGGTATGCTAGTTTCTAAAATCAGGTAGTGTGGGGCCTCCCACTTTGTTCTTCTTCTTGAATAATGCTTTACTTATCCAGGGCCTCTTCCCTTTCCATATGAAGTTGGTGATTGGTTTCTCCATCTCATTAAAAAATGTCATTGGTATTTGGATTGGGATTGCATTATATCTGTAGATCGCTTTGGGTAGAATTGACATTTTCACAATGTTGAGTTTTCCTATCCATGAGCAAGGTATGTTTTTCCACTTATGCACGTCTCTTTTGGTTTCTTGCAGTAGTGTCTTGTAGTTTTCTTTGTATAGGTAATTTACGCCTCTGGTTAGATTTATTCCTAAGTATTTTATCTTCCTGGGGGCTATTGTAAATGGTATTGATTTGGTGATTTCCTCTTGGAAGTTCTCTTTGTTGGTGTAGAGGAATCCAACTGATTTTTGTACATTTATCATCTATCCTGATATTTTGCTGAAATCTTCTATTAGTTCCAGTAGTTTTCTTGTGGATTCTTTGGGGTTTTTTGGTATAAGATCATATCATTTGCAAATAGAGATACTTTTACTTCTTCCTTACAATTTTGGATGCCCTTTATTTCTTTTTCTCACCTAATTGCTCTGGCTCGGACCTCCAGCACAATGTTGAATAAGAGCGGTGATAAAGGGCATTCTTTTCTGGTTCCGGTTCTCAGGTGGAATGCTTTCAGACTCTCTCCATTTAGGATGATGTTGGCTGGTGGCTTTGTATAAATGCCCTTAATTATGCTGAGGAATTTCCTTTCCATTCCTATTTTGCTGTTAATTTTTATCATGAATGGGTGTTGGACTTTGTCAAATGCCTTTTCTGCATCAATTGATAACATCATGTGGTTCTTGTCTTTTCTTTTATTAATGTGATGGATTACATTGATTGTTTTTCTAATGTTGAACCATCTCTGCATACTTGATCAAATTCCACTTGATCATGGTGAATTATTTTTTTGATATGTTGTTGAATTCTATTGGTTAGAATTTTGTTGAGTATTTTTGCGTCTGTGTTCCTAAGGGATATTGGTCTGTAATTTTCTTTTTTTGTGGTATCTTTACCTGGTTTTGGTATTAGGGTTATACTGGCTTCACAGAATGAGTTTGGGAGTATTCCAACCTTTTCTGTGCTCTGAAGTACTTTTAGTAGTAGTGTTGTTAACTCTTCTATGAAAATTTGTAGAATTCTGCAGTGAAACCATCCAGGCCAGGGCTTTTTTTCCTTGGGAGTTTTTAAATTACCTTTAGTCTCTTATTTTGTTACAGGTTTATTTAGTTGTTCTACCTCTGTTTGTGTTAGTTTAGGTAGGTAGTGAGTTTCTAGAAATTTGTCCATTTCCTTTAGGTTTTCAAATTTGTTAGAGTACAATTTTCATAGTATTCTGTTATGATTCTTTTAATTTCAGTTGGCTCTGTTGTGATATCACCCGTCTCATTTCTTATACGGGTTATTTACTTCCT